CCTCCTAGTCTCTTCCAAAACAGTTCTACCAACTGGGCACAGGCATTCAAATATATGACTTTATGGGAGCCTTCCTCATTCAAACCACCACAGGTGATGTTCTAGATTCTCTTATCTCCTTTGTCTTCAACATATTTGAGTCTCTATATTTAAAGTGAATCTTCCCAGTATGAGAGTACATACTTGTAATTCCAGCGCTTGGGAAGCTGATGCAAAACAATTGCCTGTGAAATCTGAGGGTGTCCTAGTCTACATTGTGGGTTTCAGACCAGCCAGGGCAACACAGTGAGACACTGCCTCAAAAATAAAGAAAGAAATAAAATAAAGCAAGTCTTCCATAGACAGAATATAGTTAGTTCTTAATGTATTTTGTGTGTGTGTGTGTGTGTGTGTGTGTGTGTGTGTGTGATTTGCACTATACACGCCTGTATGAGCACATTTATAGGGAAGTCTGAGGCAGACGTTGGGAGCCTTCCTCAATTGCTGTCCGCCATTGAGGGAGAGCCTGACCCTTGAATTCAGAGCTCACCAATGCAGCTAGTCTAGCTAGCCAGCTGGTGCTGAGATCCTCTTTCTCTGCCTGGCGCTTATATGGGCTTGAAGGATCTCAACTTCAGTTTTCACTCTGTGAGACAAGCACTTTTTCCACTGAGCCATCTGCCCAGTTAAGTTCTTACCTTTTCACCTAGTGTGATAACCCACACCATTTATTTAAGGTATTTGACCATTTATACTTAATATGTCAGGTTTATATTCACTACCTGATTTGCTTTCCACTATGTGAAACTGTTCTCTTGTTTCGTCTGCTTCTTTGCCTCCCTCTTGATTATATTATATAATCCTATTTCATCTTCTTTGTTGATGTATTTGCTGTACTGTTTATTTAGGGGATTAAGCATTTGCTTCTGTGTATATAAAAACCTTTTATTTTCTGCACTCTACCTTCAAATCATATTACACCACCCAATGCACAGACATCTACAACCTCACACATCCTTCTCTGCATCCCAGGCCTGGTGCTCTGGTTCTCTGCCCTTCCCTGCAGTGTGCCATAAGGCACACAATACAGCATTAGCAGTTTGGCCTTAACCAGCCATTGGTTATTTTGTTGTTGTTGTTTTGTTTTGTTGCTCATAATGATAATGTCCAGCATTTTCCATTCCTTCGTGTGAGTCAAGACTCTATCTGCTGTCATTTTGCTTCTTCCTGGCCAATTAATTACATTTCTCTTTCAACATTTGTATAACTGGAAAAAAATCTTTGTTATGCCTTTGTTTTTTACAGATATTGCTATTTTTGGTGGTATTTTAGATTGCAATACTGTTTCTGTTCTAGTACTTTGAAAATAAATGCTCCACTGTTTTCTAGGTGGACTTAAGTACAAGCAGAGAGCTGTTGTCATGGTAACTCAATTCTCACTACCCATTGAATTTGCCTGCTTGTAAGACGATCTTGTCATCGATTTTAAGTTTTGTGGTCATGTGCAATCTTCATCACATTGCCTTCCTTCTTTGTAAGCTGGGCACAGGGCATCTAGCATCTCCATCAAGTTTGGGAAATGCTGACTTTGAATTTTCAGTGTCTTTTCTCCTTTCCCCTTGACATTGTCACACAGCTCACTCATACTCTCTTGGTGTATCCAGAATTTTCTCTGTGTTTTATTTTGTCTTTACTGCTTGTTGGTAGACTGAACATTTTGCTGTCAGTGTTTGGGCAACTGTTAATTGGATACCTTGTGTTATATCTCAAATGTGTTTTTATCTGTAAAGTTTTGGCTTTTCCAAACACAGTTGTCCTTGTTCCCCTCTTTAATATATGGAATAGGACTGTAACTTTCCCAGTCTCTGTCTGAAATGTGTGTCCTCTCTGTTGGTTTTAATTAACTATTTTTTTCTCTTTATTGCTTATGCCTAGATAGCTTTCACTGAGTTCAAATACTGTAAATTCTACTTTGGTTTGGTGTTTGATGAAACTTGTATCTTTTATGTTTCTTAGGTGTGTGTGTGTGTGTGTGTGTGTGTGTGTGTGTGTGTGTGTGTGGTTTGCCACAGTGCACACGTGAGGAGACTCAGAGAACATTTTGCAGGAATCAGTTCTCTCCCTCCACCACGTTGGTTTCTGGAATCAAACTCCGGTCCTTAGGCTTGGTGGCAAGCACCTCACCAGGCTCTGTGCTAGTAGCTCTTAAGTTCCCTTTGCAGGCTTTGCCTCTGAGGAATCTTTGCATCCTTAGCACTGTCTTGGCTATTTTGAGGGGTCATGGGCTTATCCCAGACTAGGAGAGACTTTATGCACATTAGAAAAGGTCCTTAAAAATTGTGCACACACACACACACACACACACACACACACACACATCCCAAGAGCTTTCCTGGTTCCTGCTTAAGAAATGTCTGTCCATCTTTCTCTCCCCACCTTTTTGTTAGCAAAGTCTTCCATTTATAATCTGGCCAGCCCTGTCCATTGAGCCAAACGGAAACCAATCTGTTTGGTTTCCTCTCAAAATCAGGCTATTTGAAACAAATTCTGAAAGTCTCCAGTAGGGGGCGATGTGGGAACTAGGCCTGTTACAAGGTGTCAGCTGACTTTGAAAAAATCTGTGCCCTCATCAGGCTGATGCCCAACCCCCACAGAAACGGGTCTGTGTCCCCAACACACTCATTTTTATTTCCTTATTTTTTTTTCCTGAGTGTCATTAACTGTTACCAGGCCAGTCCAAAAGAAAGAAAATATCCGGATATCCACCCAGAGCTGTAACAATTTATACTTACTGTCACTTATCTTCCTGCCCCAAGAGCACCCGCAAAGGGAACAGCAAGGAGCTGAATCTCAGAGCCAGACATGGGCTATGCTGAGGGGAGAAAGGGACATGGCCATAAAAGCTCAAGCTGGCACTCAAATCCGGAAGATTCCGATTGCCAGGCCCAGGCTTCTTCCACCAGACTTCCCGCATCTTCAGTTGCTGAACAGCCCAGACCAGGCCTTCTTCCTTTCTTCCTTTCTTTCTTTCTTTCTTCTCTCTCTTTCCTTCTTTCTTTCTTTCTTTCTTTCTTTCTTTCTTTCTTTCTTTCTTCTTTCTCCTTCTTTCTTTCTTCCTTCCTTCTTTCTCTCTTTCTTTTTTTCTTTATCTTTCTTTTCTTCCTTCCTTCCTATCTTTTAATTTTTCTTGAAGGGATGGAGGCAATATTAATGATACCAAAATGAGTTTCACTTAGGATATTTTCATACCAACATCTCATTTTCAAAAGTGACTGTCAGTGTAGTTTTGAGTAGGATGGCTTCTTCTCCCCCACTTTGCAAATGTTTCTGTCACCTGTGTCGTGATCCTATCCCTGTCTGGTTGATTAATGAGAGTCCATCACAGTAACACAGCACAACAGAGCCCTAGAGCATCTGCAGGGCTTTGAAGAGTGGCTTTGCCACTATTGTGGAAAACTGGATTCAAAATACACACACCTTTAATCCCAGCACTCAGGAAGTGAAGGAAGCTATGTAAGCCCAAGGCCAGCCTGGTCTACATGGAGAGTTCCAGGACAGCCAGAGCAACACAGTAAAACACTGTCTTGAAAAAAAAATGCAAATATGTCAGCCACTTATATTTTGAATAGAAGGATGCAGAGGAAAAACCCCTGCAAATGTGTTGTCCAATGGGACAACTCAAGTGTCACCTCCACAGTATCTGCAAATTGCCAACCAACCATCCGTTGAAAGGCCAACATGCTAAGAGCCACCAGCATCTTTCAGAGAACATCCTTTCTCTGTGCTTATAAGTCACCTTGTCTAAGAACTGTTTCTGTGGTCTGAATATTTATGCCCTGCCCCTCTGTTGCCGTCAGTGTCTTACGATAACCTGAGGCAGCCTAACTTTATAAAGAAGAGTATTTAGCTGACAGATCTTGAGTTGAGGCATATCGTGGGCAGGGCCCAGCTCTGGTGAGGGCCATCTTGGCTGTATTGCAAAATGGCAGGAACTCATGTGGAAAAATGATCACACAGAGAGATGGGAAGCCAGGGGCCCATATCAGCCTTTTATAGCAACTCTCTTTAAAGAACAAACAAGGGTCCCTTCTGAAAACAGACAGTAAGAACTCACCCAAATTGACATTAAATCCATGTTAACATCACACACACACACACACACACACACACACACACACGTAGACCAAACAACACATAAAGGAGAGGAAACTCTCTCATCCTCACAGCAGACATACCTTAAACTTCTGCCAATTACAACTCTTTTATGTTCTGTTGGCTGGAGCTTTGTACTCACTGGCTTCCTTGGTGAGTGTCCCTCTGCCTCAGCATGCATGTAATGTTTGGTAGACAGTTTGGTGACTAGAAAACCCTCTGGTAGAGGTTGGTCATAGCTCCACTGAAAAGCAAAGTGGTTGCTTGTTTGCAACCAGCTCTAGGGGAAATCTGGCTTCCTTTGCTCACCTTAATACGTACATGTTTGGGGGAGGCTGGAAACATGGCTCAGCGGTTAAGAGCACTGACTGTTCTTCTGGAGGACCAGGGTTCGATTCCTAGCACCCATGTGGAGCCTCACAACTCCCTCTGGCTCCAGTTCAGGGGATTTAACACCCTCACACAGACCTATATACATGTAGGCAAAACACCAAATAATAAAAATAAAATCATTAAAAAAAAAAATAAGGACATCATGGAATGGCTCAAGTGACCCCATGTGCCTCATCAGCCCCACCCCTGCTGCTCCCGAGTCCAAATCTCAGTCCCCCGGCAGTGCCCCCACCCCCGCAAGGGCTCCAGCAAAAAGCTACTTCTCCAGCCTTTAATTTTATGGCCTTGAACTCACTAGGAGTGGAGTTCCAGGTTGGCCTCTAACTTGTGATCAGACCAACAGGATCTTCAATTGCTTTTTCTGTCCCTGGTACCTAACCATTAAGTGGCACACCGTCGGTGCCGACCGCATCTTGCAGCATGCACTTGATCGGGCTAGAATGGATGGATTTTTCTTGTCTGTTTGATTATTCCAGAGTGCCCAGGAGGAGCAGGGTCACCGTGCAGTGGCAGGGGAATTTGTGATCACGGCATGGAAGGAACCGGAAGATGCTCTTGCCAGGTAAATTCAGAGAACTGCTCCTGAAATGCCACTTGCCCCTTCTTACCTGTTGATCTGCCTTCATGACAGCCCATGATAGACGTCTCTAAGAGAAACAGTGTTAATAATAAAATGAGTTCACAATGTACAACAAAATGACCTTTCACCCTATATACACCACTAAAACCTGACGAAAGACCTTTGGAATAAGCCTCTTTGAAGGTATAAAGTGAGGTCACGTATGTAAATCTAAATTATGAATCCATTTAAGGTTTAAAGTTGTCACTTCTTGCTATGGGTAGCCATCACCCCTGCTACTAGTCTAGCCTGGGGGCTATGCTCCCAACCCTGAGCCAACCAGGGACATGTGGCCACTGAAGAATTTCTTCAGCTAACCAAAGGTGACTCTTGTGAATTTCAAACTGTGGAGGAACACAGATCCTTCTAAAGGGGATTGAGTTCAGCTGCCTTCTGAACAGAACTGAAAGTGGTTTTGTTTTGTCCTTGGGTGAAATTGTGATAACTGACAGCACTTACTGTCTGTTTATACCATTGACAGTTTTCTTCTATAGGGTCTAGACCTTTAGCAAAAGGAAAAAAAAAAAAAAAAAAAAACTAGCTTGGTGGTTTTGTGGGACTCCCTAACAGTTGGAGAGGGAGTGTCTCTGCCTCTGTTGCCTGCTCTTCGGACCCTTTTTTTTTTTTTTTTTTTTCAGCACGGCCTCATTCAGCCTTGCTATGAGGACTTGTGCCTAGTCTTATTGCATCTTGTTATGCCATGTTTGGTTGGTATCCCTGGGCGACCTGCTCTTTTCTGAAGGGGAGGAGAGGATCTGTGAGAGAGGGAAGGTTGAGGAGTGGGGACTGGAAGAAGAGGAGCAATCAAGATGTAATTAATAAAAAAAATAATTAAAGAAAAAAAAGAATAGAAAATAAGACATATAATAAATGAAATGACATTACCAAAATTACAAAAAAAGATGTATTGAAAACAAAAAAAATATTTAAATAAAATGAAAAACAACAAAATGTGTGCATTATGACATATACAGATTTCAAGAGGCCTGAAAAAAGAAAGGCCCAGGGGAAAGGGAGATTTGAGAAGTACACAATGGCCAGGCCATCAGTAGTTTCCCCGGGGGGCGGGGGGGGCTTTCTGGATAACATAGGAGTCACCCAGTATGACCTTGGCTCTGATGTCATCCACCTGGGTTTTGCAGGCGGGCTTTCGTGGAACAGCCTGTGAAATCTGTGCTGCTGACAATGTTTTTGGGCCCAATTGTTCATCAGGTAGGTCTGATTTCTGTTCATTTAAAGCACTGTAAATGTTTAAAATCCCCAGAGATGGCTACTTTGATTTTTAACAGTGCTTTTAGATTTCTGGCCTCCAGAAATGTATGGAGTTGTGTTGTTTTAAAATACAAAGTATCTTGCCTTTCCCTAGCTGTAGCAAAGGACATGAAACTGGAGCTTTAGTGAGGAGAGAGGTTTCGGGGGACTCAGTTTGGGAGGTGGCAGGTGTACATAGGCCACATTTTCATTATCTATCGATGAGCTGATGGGCAGCTAGGTTGGTTCTTCTTCTTTGCTATTGAGAGTGAAGCTACAATAAACATCGATGTGCAAGTGTCTCTGTGGTGGGATATGGAGTCCTTTGGGAATACGCCCAGGAGTGGTATATTGGGCTTATATGATACATCTAGCCAGCGGTTTGTTTTGTTTTCAAAAAATCTATAAACATATGCATATATTCAATGCCGTAAGTTCTTCAGCATGTTCCATAATCCATCTCACCTGGAGCAGAAGACTTCCTCATTCTGATGCATGGGGTTGTTGCTGAAGGCAAGACTCCATTGTGTTTTTCTCTCTGGTAGCTTCCCTAGTGTGGACGGCATGGGAAACGCAGCTGTTTGTTAGCCAAATGAACAAATAAGTGTATGGATGGATGGATGAATGAATGAATGAATGGCCCCAGTCATATTATCCTGGCACAGAAGCACAATTTCAGGAGGTACAGATGAAAGGATTAGAGCTGAAGCTTAGACCCTGGTAGGGCTCTTGCTCCAGGGCTGCTCACTGCAGCAACTGGAAAATAGTATAGAACATGGTCTCTGTGAGCTTCTTACCTGTAAAAGCAAGTAATATGGCCATCTCTGGGGAGTGTGTCATGAGACAGAGCATAGTAGCTGTTGGCTGTCATTACTGTTGTTACCTAGTTCCTCCTCATCTTTAAGTGTTCCTTCACTCTCTGCTCCACAAAGATTATTCCATAACTGCACTAGCAAAGCAAATTGAAACCATGTCATAGTACTCCACAGGTTCTTAACATTTGCAATGCTTTAAAGAGAGCAACTAAAGCACAACCAAAGTGATTAGAATGCCATTTTGTCTCTCCTTCTACACGGCTCCTTCCCTAGCACAATCAATTAGGGTTTAAAGTACATAAACTAAATAAATACTGAGGTGGGAAAGTAGGAAGCAAGCACCCAGCACCCCAGAAAAGTGGAGTGGTTGTGTGGGGATGAAAAGTTAGGATGAAGGTAATCCAGGGAACCTCTGTAATACTGGGCATCGATTGCTGACAAGCACAAACATAAAGGAAATTCCAGACATTTCTAAGTGAAAGAGGATATGCTTCCTGTTTGTGCCATGGAGGAAGCGGGCGGGGGGGGGGGGGAAAGGATGAAGATGGTTCGGACCCTAGTTGTTTTTAATAAATGAAATTTTCTTCATTTATTAATTCAAATAAATAAAATGTATTATTTATCCTTATTACATTGTAAAATTTTAGCTTGTGTGCTTATGTATGGGCATGCCACAGGACATATGTGGAGGTCAGGAGGCAATTTGCAGAGCTCAGTTCTCCCCTTTCACCATGTGAATTGAGTTCTGGGCATTGAACTCAGTCGGACCTTAACCTGCTGAGCCATCTTGCCAGCCCCAAGCCCTGAGTTGTTAAGAGGATTAAGCCTAAAAAGAGACCCAGCCAAAAGCTCTCCGAGTTCTAGATTAGAGTTCAACAGAACTTCCTGTCTTGTTGTCCAGCCTAGTAGCCACAGGCCACATGTGGACCCCGAGCTCCTGAAATTCAGCTAAAACAACTGAGGAGCTGAATTTTAACTCTTAGTGTACGCTCCTGAATTTAAGTAGAAAGAGCTGAATGTGGCCAGTGAGTCTCCTATGGCACAGCATCTTCACACATCATGGCTAAGAGAGCAACCAGGGAACTCTAATTAGCCTGAGTCTGGAACCAAGTTCAACTTCTGTGGGACTTATGATGCAGGACTGTCATCTTCCTCCTGGGGGTGACAACACACCTGAGGAACTCCTTCAGCCAGGCGCCAACTGTGTGCTGGGGTTGACTCAGCCACTGGAGTGTGGCCCCAGGAAGCGGTACTCCTGCCTGAAAGCGGGACAGCTCTCTCAAGCGTCATCTATTTGTAATGCTGACTTCTCCCTGCTGCCAAAGATGCTCCCTTGCCAGGCTGTTTGTTGGTTGGGGATGATTCACAGCTAGGCCAGCTGGTCAGCCAGTGGCTTTCATCTTTGCTGCCGGTGCTGCAGCTACTAAATACCTTGCTCTCATTGAGAGCCCAGTGCAAAATTCACTTTCCCTATGTAACCCCAAAATCAACCCACATCCATGTGTTCCTGGCAACACCCTACTGTGTGCAAAAAGTTTCCCACCGACAATCTCCTCAGTTCCTCAGTACACCACTTTGAACTAAGGTCCTTTAAAGGAGCACAGAGGTGACAGAAGGCCTTCTGACTATTACAGCATCAGAGGATTAGCCAGGTGTCTGACCTTGGCCCCTGCACTGCACTGCTCTGGCCCTGGTGTGAATGCAGCATGCACTAGACAACAAACAGGTGACTAGCTCCTGTTGCCATGGAGCTGGAAATATGAGTAATAATCACGCTGTGCTGTGCTGTGCATGGCCCACAGGAGAGAGAGAAGCTCTGGGTATGTCACAGGGGGCCATGAACCATCTGTGATCCCAATGGCCAAGGTTTTGGCTACTTTAAAAATCACACAACCCAAACTTCACATTTCTCTAGAAGTTTGCTGAGACCACTTCACGATGCACCCGAGGACTTCAGGTGGCCGTCTGGGAATCCCTCAGCTCCTCACTTCTCCTTCCCAAGGACATGATCTTGGTAGTGGCTGATGGTCCTGAAATGCAGTGTCATAGGCTTCAGAGGCCGCCTGTGCCTGCCAGCTAACGCAGTGCACAGAGCAGAAGGATGGGACACAATGGGAGGCTGATGCCAGAGAGCTGCTGGGTCTCACAGCACACGGCTGAGGGAGCACTTACCAGCAAGGACAGCACTTGCGTTAGCACGTGGGAACTAGACCCCACCTCCATGTCACCACCATCTGCTGGCTATGTGGAAACACAGAACACTAGTTGCCACCTTGTCCCCAGGGTCTGGCTTCTCTGCCACTCTCTGACCTCCCAAAATTGAGATATGCCTAGTCACCTGCGTTTGTACACCTCATACCAGATGCCATACCTGCTGCTAGGCAGAAACAGGGTGAGTGTTGTTTAACTCAATTGACTGGAGCCTTTTCCATTAACTTTGATGGAAGAATCGTCTCTGCCGAGATCCCATCTCACTCCAGGCAGTTCCATAATCAACTTGAGTTTTCTCCAGAGTCTCCCCTTCCAAAAGCTGCAGTCGGGTAGGCTTTGAAGTGATTTGCTAAAACAGAAAAAAAAGGCAAACAGGACTTAAAGATGACAGTGACAAATTCAATGCTTCATCTCCTTGACCAAGCACTTGCTAGTTAGCTCCCACATTTTTTGTTGATAAAGTGAGATTAATAATGTTACCTGCCTTGTGTCACACTAAACCGAAAAGTGCACAGCAAAATGCCTGAGAGAACACACGTGACAAGTAAAGGCAAGCACAGGTGCAGGCCTGAGTAAGGTGAGGGAGGGAATGTTCCTCGGAGTGAAATTTAACAAGAAAAAAAAAAATCAACTAAGACAATCAGTTTCTTAGGGCCAGCATGACAAGGCAGCTAAAACTGGGCAACTCCTTCTGAAAGCTGAAGGCTCAGAGTGGGGGTGTTAGCAGGGTTTACTCCTTTTAACATTCTTCTCCATCCCTGCCAATGGAGCAACAGTTCTACTTCAGGATTCCTGGGATGGCACCACAAAAGTAGGTTCTCCTTGAAAGACGAGGAGACACGCACATCCCACACCAGAAGCCAACGCACGGGTGCGGGAGTGCAAGACACACAGGATGTGTGAGTGCAGGACACATGTGCTACTTCTCCCTGCAGTGGTCTTAATGGGGCCTGTGTCCACCCTGCTCTTCCTGGCCAGCTCCCATTGCTGTATTGGGTGGTGACATTTATCACACTGTGCTGTGAACGGCTGTTTCCTTCTGCCTTTGCACTGGAGCCCTTTTCGGATGGAAACTTATCTAGTACAGTATTCCGAACATGGCAGTTTGCTAGCTAATCATGAGGATGGAAGGGAATGAACAGGAGTCAACCTGTACACTTAGAAGTCAAATGTGTAAGATTCGATGGTGTTTGGGCTCGCAACAAACTGGAGATAATGCAATAGAATGTTGCTGCAACAGTGTAGACAAAGCTTGGAAAGGGCAAGGACAGGACCAGTGAGACGATTAATAGGATGCCCAGGGAGGAGATGCAGACAAAGACTACTGAGGGTTTGGTGCAATTATAGACATTTGGAAAACGTTAAACTTAGAAACCCTCGAGTTTCTATATTTTTTGTTAAGCAAGTACCTCCTAATAATTGGGACTCATTTGAGCTTATATGAAATGTACTCACATGCATCAAAGTTTGTATGGTAGGCAGAACAATGCTCCATCCCCCAAAGAGCCATGTCCTAATCCTGCAGCCTGTGAGCATGTTAAGTTACATGACAGGGGAATTAAGGCCATGGGTGGTATTAGAGCTGCTAACCAGTAGGTTTGACATAAAGAGGTTGCTCTTATTGCCCAGGTGGGTCCAGAGTGGGAAAAGGAGGTAACCATAGAGACACCAGTGTGAGAAGAACTTGGTACATCAACTGAAAGTGCAGAAAAGGGTCATGAGTCTAGAATCTGGGAAAGGTAATAGAAGAGATTCCAGAAAAAAAAAAAAAAAAAAGCTTTACAGCAACTTTGATTTTAACGTAATGGGACCTTTTTTCCTCCAGAACTGTCAGGTGAACTTGGACGGTGTCAGGCTCCTCTTCAGGACAGTTTGTTACAGCAGCAACAGAACCTCATACAATGTGCTTTGTGGGAGTCTTGGCTTCAGTATACTGCTGGCCAGCTTGATAGTAAACTGTGTAAGAGACGGGTGTTGAGGCGTGGACCATTATACCAAAGGCCCTTCATCTGCCATCTCTGCTGGGCAGAAAATAGAACATAGTCATTCTGGGCCCTATTGGTTTCCTTTTCTTTTCTCATCATAGCACTGCCCTCTTCATTCAAGAAGATTTGATAACAGAGATGTCAGCCAGCTACAGGGCAGAGTTGAGGGGGGTAGGGCTCTTCTCTTTGTAAGAAGACACTAGGTTATTCCTGCTTTCAGGCTATCCAAAGATGAAGCAAACAGCTCGGTGGGGAAGAGAACACCAGTGCCTGTGATGTGCCAGGCATGCTTTAGATCCATTTCCTTACTTCACACTCTTCTCAGCCGAGGCACCACTGTCCACCTCACACACTGAAAAATCCCAACTCCGATAGAAGAGAGATGAAGCCGAGATTCAAAGTAGTTTCTCTGGGAGTGAGTCTCAGATGGGCTTCCTGAGACTGTTACCCATCCGGGATCTTTCGGAGCAATCCCCATCAGAGGCTGACACACCCCCGTTTTCTGCCTACAGTGTGCAGCTGTGTCCACGGTGTGTGCCGCAGTGGCCTCAGTGGTGATGGAAGCTGTGAGTGCTTCTCGGCATACCGGGGCCCCAGGTGTGACAAGCGTAAGTGTGCCTCCTCACCACTACCCAGCCCGAGAGAGGCTTGTTACTGGGACTCCGACCGAGGTGATGGGTTGCCAAATGTTTTGTGAGGGAGGACACAAATTAGGCAAACATGGTAAAAGAGCTAAAGAGAAGAGAAGGGGGGAGGGGTGAAGCGGTGTGTGACATGACCAGAGCTGTGCTGTAGGGAGGCTAAACAGGAGGCAGCATGAGGCAGTGTGGTGATGAGGGCTGGAAGGCCAGGAGGGGCATCCCAGAAAGACAGTCCATAAAGGAGACAAAGTATGGTCTCATTTGTAAAAACTCATTACCAACCACAGTGTGCAGAAACAGGGGCTCCAAAGCTATGTGGCTTACCCAAGGGCACAGGAATGACAAGTACAAGCGGGTGTCAAAGCACTGACAACCATGTGAAATCGTTTAAACAGTCCATGACACTGGGTCCAGTTAGAAGATGAAGAGCAGGGTTGAGTTAAACAAGGAGCTGGTTGTGCAGATGAGGATGCTGCAGCACTCTGGGTGCACAGCCTGGGCAGACATCCGTATGAGGCCTGCCCAGCAGCAGCAACAGCAAAGGCATCTCCCTGAGTGTGCTCTGCCCTGCAGCCCAGCTGCTGCCGGCTACACTGTCCCACCAGCGCCCTCTACTGGCAAAACTTAATGCTTTCTAGAGAAGAAAAACATGCTTTCACCCTCCCCATTCACAGGCCTATCCCCAGTCCTAGCTCAGCCTTAAGTCAAAGCAGTTTCCACAGAATGGATAAGAAGGTATTTTTTTAAAATAAACAAATTGGCCATATTTACCCAGTGACACGAGGATCACTCAATATATCCTCTGAATATTAGTCTCATGTTGAATAAAGGGTTAGAAGAGTTTGGAATTCCACATGGGACAAACTCGTTTTACTGAAAGCCCAAGGTATACTGTGGAAGTGGCAAGTGCATAGACCAGCCTCTGTCTTCTCTGCAGAGGACACAGCCCTGCAAACTGCCAGCTCACAGTAACGCCAGGTGGCTGGGCTGTCCTCCCTGTGACCTCAACCAGCCTCCTTCCAACATGCTCCCCACAACACACACGCACAAACCTTCAATGATTTCACATTATGGTTCTCAAGCCATATAGCAGGAGACCACATCAAAGCCACGAGCCACTTTGGGGTTATTTGAGTTGTTGGGAGAAACATGGAGAGTGAAAAGACGCACCTGTCTAATGCCATAGGACCTGCTAGCCTGGGTTAGTTCATGACTTCATGTGAGATCACACTACATTTTTCCATGACATAGCATCTTTGCCTAGCCATCCTGTTAGTGGTTGTTGTAGTTAAAAGTAAGTTCCCGGTCTGGGGAGATGACTCAGGGAGTAAGAGCCCTCGATTTGCAAGACTGAGGGCCTGAGTTCAAATGTCTACAACCTGCTGTGGCTTGTGCACATAGAACTCCAGCAGTGTAGGACCCAGAGGCAAAAGGATAGTTGGGACTAGGCTACAAGCCTAGCTCCAGGCTCAGTGAGAAACCCTCTTTCCAAGGAAGAAGACTACATAGCAAGCTGGAAGCCAGCCTGAGTAAGTTATAAGAGATCCTGTCTAAAAGAAACAAAAATCAATCAAAGTTAGTTTTTACTTTTTTGCTATATTTTAATAATTATTGCCATATGCCTTAATTTTTTTGTTTTGTTTTTTGTGTTTGCTTGTTTTTGTTTGTTTGTTTGAGACAGGGTTTCTCTGTGTAGCCCTTTCTTTCCTTGCTCACTGTGTAAACCAGGCTGTTCTCAATCTCACAGAAATCTGCCTGCTCCTGCTCCTGCCTCTGCCTTCCTGAGTGTTGGGATTACAGGCCTGCACCACTGTGCCTGGCAGCCTTAACATTTTTAATAAAAGACTTTTATAATCGGTTATCCTACTAACGGGAGTGCTTCTATAACCCTCCTGTGCAGCCATCCCCGAATGTGCAGCCTTGCTCTGCCCAGAAAACTCCAGATGCACACCTTCCAGCAAAGATGAAACCAAGCTCGAATGCAAATGCCTTCCCGATTATGAAGGGGATGGCCAAAACTGCAGGGGTGAGTAGATCCCACCCTATTTGCCGCTCTGTGTAGCTCAGTAGAAATTGACAAAGCTCCAGGTAGAAAGCTTAGTAATCTTGGAAGTGTGGCAGATCCCCTTCCGTTATCCAGCACATACAGAGATTTCATAGGCAATTACAGTTTCTGTCGTTCCTATGTGAATCTGTGTTGGCAGAGCAGGGTGACCAGACAGCATAAGAAGATGCATTCTTTCTGAATACTGTCCAACTGCCTTGATGTCTGTGGTACATTTGAGCCGCTGCTGCCTGGCAGTTCGTTTCTCTCTCCTTCATCTCTGAGAATGCTAACCACCTCTCGTCTCATCTTCCCTCAAGCTATCAACCCATGTTTAAAAAACGTCTGCCACCCTCATGCAAGTTGTTCCTACCTGGGACCAAATCGGCACAGTTGTGCATGCCAAGAAGGCTACCAAGGGGATGGTCAGGTGTGTCTGCCAGTAGACCCCTGCCAGACAAACTTTGGAAACTGCCCTACGAAATCTACGGTGTGCAAATATGATGGGCCTGGACAGGTGAGCGAATGGAACTGATGTGTCCAGAAATGGGGGAGGAGCTCAGGTAACTCAGACCACTGCATGTGTGTCTTTTGGGTCTTCAGTTCTGATTGCACCTGCACGTATTCAGTTTGGTCTTCCTTGCTAGGCAGTTCTCGTTGTGCTCAGGGCTTGATCGCAGGCTTTCCTACCCTATGCTCCCACTAAACTCACACCTTCCCCGACCCTGAATCAAAACTTAACTGCCCTGTGTTTTCTCCTGCCCCCATCCCATGTGCTGACTGACAATATAGGGACAGAATTCTAAATTCGAGTAGATTCTTTTGCCTGGAGTCATCTGAATGCAGTCGACATCCACCTCCAGGTCCCCATTCTCAGTGAAGCCTTTTTAGATTAAGGGGAACCCTTGAAGCCCCAAAGGATCGGATTGAGCAAAAGTCAGCAGAATTACAGGTTGTAGAGATTAAGGGTGTCCTGGGAGAGACATGAATTATGTTATGACCTGGAATGACAAAAAGTTGCCCTGGCCTAGAGAACTTTACTGAGGAGACCTGCCGAAAGAGCCCTCACCAAGTGTTTAGTGGATGCTGACTGTGCTCATGGCCATGGGAAGGATTGCTGCACAGGAGGATATGAAGGAAAAGCTCAGTGGGTAGCCCAAACCCTCATGGTTCCCCTGGTGGGACTGTTCTCAAATTCTGCAGAGAATCAAGTCTGTCTTCCTTCTGAGGAGTAAATGTATCATATGACATTCTCCAATTTCTGAGCCAGGATTGCCTAAATATTCAAGGGACTAAAAAGTCTTTTTCTCAATATGCAGGCCTCTGTGAGAAAATCCGTGTTATGTCATGAGTGTCAGAACTTGGAAATAACACTGAGAATACTATTTATGGCTTTAAACAATGCCCCCAAGGCAGACTGTGAAGGTTTAGGAAGCCTCAGTTTTTTTTCATGGAAGCATGACATTTGCACTCTGCACAACAAGACTTTTAATCTTGGTGTTGTTTTGAATTGCATCATTCTTTGTTGGGTTAGGTTCATCATAGCATTCTTCATCTCTGTCTTCTTGTGACAATGTCCAGGGCTCCTAGACATTGTCCAGGGCTCCTCCTCCACTGAAAATGAATGAAAATTCCTTTGTATTCTAGAGGAATTGTGCCTCCCATCTGAATGCCAGCCTCCAGTGCCTATCAATTGTCTAAATGGAATTCTGTGTGAGGTTAAGATTCAGGAAACAACAAAAGTAAACATCCAAACTTTACATATAAGGGACATGAGCTCTCCAATAGGGAAGATATACAATCACAATTTCAATTTCTAGAAACTTTGACAAGTTTGCAAGCCCACACTTCAGTCCTGCTTAGTGTTGGCTTTTGTGTGAGAATATATATGTGGATTTAAAAATATCAGCTGCTGAGACTAACTGGGGTCCAATTTGGCTTTCTCTCTCTCTATCTCTTATAGTCTCACTGCGAGTGTAAAGAACATTACCGAAACTTTGTACCTGGAGTGGGGTGCAGTATGACCAACATCTGTGAATCAAACAACCCATGTCATAAGAATGCAAACTGCAGCACAGTCACACCAGGCAAAGCCCAGTAAGTCTTCTCCGTCTCCCTAGATGTTTCCCAGATGGTGAAAATGGGAACCAGTCAATGTGGTAAGCTCCTTGAAGGAGAGAAAGCATTCCTCAATCAGCCCTATATCCACTCCATCCCAGGGAGTGGCAGCAAGGAGCACAGTAAGTGTTCCATAAATCTGTTTAATCAATGAGTCCATCAATAGGTATTTCCTTCCTGATGACTATGAGGATACTCTGAGCATTGACTTGGCCCAATATTGGGGCTTAAGCAGACAGAACCCAAAAGGAAACAACTGTGCCTGGGAAAACAAATGGCTGTTGGGAATGCAGGAGTTAGACCACTAAAGTACACTTCTGTTTCTGCATTCCTGGGACAGTGCTTGTGGGTGATACAGAATAAGACTTGCGAAAATGACTAAACATGAGAGGTATTTCCTGGATGCCAAGTTTCAGAAGACGTTTGCCATGAGTGAAAATATTTGTGTGTAATTTCCCAAGGCAGGGCAACCCTCACTGTGTGAGGGGAATGGTGAGTCAAGTTTAAAGACCTGAGGTTAAGCTGGGCATGGTGGCAAGTGCCTTTAATCCCAGCACTTGGCAGTCAGAGACAGACAGATCTCCATTAGTTTGAGGTCAGCCTTGTGTATATAGCAAGTTCCAAGGCTGCCAGGGTGACTTAATAAGACCCTGTCTCAAAGGGGGGAAAAAAGAGAATTTGGGGGAGGAAGGAAAGAGAAAGACTTGAGGTTAAGTCATGACTCTGGTACCTACAGTGCTGGCCCTGGGGAAGAGGGGCTCCCATCTGTGTACAGTAAAATGATGTCTGCTCCATAGAGCTACCATGGCAATATGAGAAAATATTTTTGTGCAGACTCTGAGCAGGGATGTTGTGTTTTCATCAGGGATTGAACCTGTATCCTAGAGGTTCAATCCTAGAAGCTAGAACCTGTATCCTCAACCCTCAGACCTTGCCTGCTCCACTTAGTTTTCATGGGCTCCACCTTTGTGAAGGACTTTTGCCTCTGTTGTGAGCTTAAAATCATGATTACATTGAACAAAGCAATCACAAAACAGTTTCTTCACTTCCAGAGGCCAGCCACTTCAGCTTTCTCAGGGCTGGTCCTTCATAATTGGGCCTTCAGTGGGCAGATTTTTCTCCCAGATGAATTTTATAATCATCACATTCTGTAGATAAATACACTAGGTGTGGCTGGAGTACCAGGCTTGGGTGTCAGGATCCCAGTGCTTACATCTTAACTCCACTACTTAGCCTCCAGGAGCTGCTGGCTCTTAAGCCACAAAGTGGGGAGAATGGTATCTCCTGTTGGGGCTGTGCTGAGGACCAAATGAAATTACCTTTATCTCTCCGTGAGCGGTGATACACAGAAATAACACACACCAAGTAACCACAGCCATGAGTTGAGGTAATAGGCCCCCTAGACATATGTGAACACACGCACACCTCTTCTTCAGAGTTCAGGAAAGCAGAGAGGTCATTTCACCACCCTGCTAGAAAGTCTGAGTAGACTGCCTTATATCATCTCTCTCCTTCATGTTCAGAAAGATAAAAATATAAAAACAGAATAACAGAACACCGTAAGCTTCATCCAAACTTGTGTCTAAGATGTTTAGTAGAACTAACAACAATTTTTAGGACTGTGTATGCCATTTGTAAACCTTCCTGCCCTCCTCCTCCCCAGGAAAACAAATAATCTTCACTTAAAAGAGGCCAAGATAGAACGTCTGGCTAGGAGAGGTTGGTAAAAGGTGACGCCATTGACCCTTGGGCAATGTACAATAGTTGATCTGGATTAAAGGATTCATTAGGCTTATGTCTCAACATAGCAGTTTTCTGTAGACTCTCAAACAAAAACCCAAAAGGCCACCCAATCAAAAAGAAGAGGCTAAAACATGGGCTCACCCAGTCCTCACTAGGGTGACCTGGAAAAAGGCTAAACCCCACAATCTCCTCACCAACACAAGAGTAAGAGATCACCTAAGCCTTCCCATGAAGGGCCAGCTACATTTTTACTCTAGACTCTATTTGTATTATTACTTTAAAAAGGGAGAAATGGGGTCATTTCTGTAATGGGCATCACTTCCCATTGTACCTCTCAGTAGGGGTAGGAAGTAAGGAGCAACACAGGACAGACACTTTCTCTTATATAATTGACTTTGGCTGTAAAGAAACTGAGCCAGACTGAGCTGGACTGAAAAGTTGTAATGAAAACAGTATGTTCACATTCCAGCCACACAAAGTACACACAAACAGTGGTGAATGTTAAGGACATTCTGTATTGACAGTCAGGTCCTTGATTATTTTAAAAGGGGGGGAGGGGTAGCAAGTGCTCTGAGGTCCCTTTCCTGAGAGCGTTGATCCATTGGTGAGGCTCCTCCTTTATAACCTAACATGTCCCCAGCTCCCAACATATATCACTCTGGAGATTAAAATTTCAGCATGAGACTTTAAAGGGGGCACAACCCATCAGTCTCAAGCACCATTCTGTTCCATGATATGCTCAACTGCATGCCTCTTACCTTCTCTTCCACTTAGAACAGCCTCCAACATGTATGTACACCTTCTTCATCTGAGTGGGACACACACAGAGATCCTTTGATGCTCATCTGATGTGTCTCCCCCTCTGGGAAGTTCCCACACACACACACACAGACACATACAACACACTTTGCTAGTACTTATGGACCAGCTCTGTGATGAGTACTTGGCACAGAGATTGTGTGATCTTCAGTGATATACATAGCTTCTCATGTGTAAATGAATATGTAAAATGGGGCTATTGCACAGGAGTCTTTCCTGAGACTGATATTCCAACCAAGGACCATGCACGGAGATAACCTAAGACCCCTGCACAGATGTAGCCCATGGCAGTTCAGTATCCAAGTGGGTTCCATTGTAATAGGAACAGGGACTGTCTCTGACATGAACTGATTGGCCTGCTCTTTAATTACCTCCCCCTGAGGGGGAAGTAGCATTACCAGGCCACAGAGGAAGACAATGCAGCCACTCCTGATGAGACCTAATTGACTAGGATCAGAAGGAAGGAAAAGAAGTCCTCCCCTATCAGTGGACTTGGGGAGGGGAATGCATGCAGAGGGTGGAGGAAGGGAGGGATTGAGATGGGAGGAGGGAGGGAACCACAGGGGGGATACAAAGTGAATAAAGTGTAATTAATAAAGAAAAAAAATTAAAAAAAATGGGGCTATTGGCTCTGGAGAGATGATCAGCTTTTAGTAGCATGTTGCTCTTGCAGAGTTCTGTTCCCAGCACCCATGTCTGGCAGTTCACACCTGCCTGTAACCCCAGCTCCAGGAGATCTGACGTGCCTGGCCTTTTTAGAACTCCCCTCAAGTGTACATATCCATAGACAGGCAGAGAGACATGCACACACACACATAAAATTTTGACATTTAAAAACAATGTAACAAGGCCAATAACATCTCATCTCAAAAAGCAGTTGTGTTGACTTAGAAACTACATCCCCCCCTAGGAAGAATGCCTGGACCAGGAGCTATCAGGAAATACTAGTTATTACTATCTAGTTAATATACAGTTATTACTACTGATTTCTATGTCCAACTAGAATACAAGGGTACATCCTACTCACCTTTGCTGGAAACATCTGTCACTGGCTAACACAATGGGCCGAATGAGAGTTTGGAGCAACAGGTGAATCAGTGAAGGAATAAAAGAAATGAAGGAAGCAACTGGAATCCCCAGAGTAACTCAACCTACACAGCCTCGCGAGTTACTAATGCCAACCAGTAACATAAATGCAAGTGGCCTGTGGGTTCACTTAAAGCCTTAAGACACTCCAGGATATTTAAACTCAATTAAAAAAAAAAAAAACTATTCACTAAAGAGGCTAGGCTCTGAATGTGCTACGGGAAAACTGAGAATAGTCAAGTAGAAAACAGTCACAAAGGCTTGGACTTTGGCCTGAGGTTTAAAGTAAACATTAGAAATATGTAGGTCTCCTACACTCCTCAACACCAAGGCCATTCAAACAGGATTCTCACTTCACGTGAAACAAACCATTAGCCTCATAAGGACTTGCAGAGAGAAGCATCCTCAGGAGCTGGCGTGAGTTCCACAGCGTGTCCTGGCAGTGTTTTGGGATTAAGCCTGTGTGCTTTGCATTGAAATCTTTAAATCTCCACAGTGAAGGCTGTATAGGCTTCCTACTTCTTAATTAATGCAGCATGGTGCTTACCCATCAGATAACTGCCGATAGGGTGAACAGTCTGAGGAAACCTAGAGCAACCTTTTTAAAGAGAGCATGGCTGCTGTACAACTGTATCCCAGAATCTGCAAAGCTGAGGTAGGAGGCTAGCCTGGACGACATAAGGAGATCCTATTTAAAGCATATACAGTTTAATGCTTCCAGGGCTGTGGTGGGCAGCAGGTACCCAATTCTTGTATATTATTCTGTAAGAGAAAAGCATCAGAAGGGTTGAAACAGGCTGCTAACAGGTTTCTCTTCAGAGGAAGTCGCTTTGAGGTTCAATGAAGGGTGGACTGGAGAACAGAACAGGAATGGCAAAAAAAAAAAAAAAAAAAAAAAAAAAGTAGTTAACAGTCACTGCTGCAGGCTGGGCTCAATGCCGCACACCTGTAATCCCAGCAGAGGCAGGGCGATCTCTGAGTTCAAGGCCAGCCTTGTCTACAAAGTGAGTCCAGGCAGCCAAGGCTACCCAGAGACCCTGACTGGAAAAAGAAAACAAAACAAAAAGGGTCACTCTGCAGTGCAGGCAACAGGGCTCTGAGAGGTTTGCCCCACTGACTTGAAAACAGATCTGTTTTCCAAAAGGTGGTATTTATCTGCAGCTGGGTTCATGAGAGAGTAGTTTAATCTGGAATATAGCCCTAACACATCTCGTCCATGCTGTGGTGGGAACCGACCATATCTCTGCAGCTCCCTCAGCCTTTCTCTCTGGAAGATTCTTCCCCTCCTCCTGTTTGGCTCCTAGTCAGCGTCACCATCTAACACACTTTCTCAGTTTCCGCTGTCAACTTTTCTGAAAATATCGTCAGGCAGTGTCAGCGCGTCCTGATTCAGAGCTGAGGGCTAAATTTTCAGGAATTTCCCAGGCTTGTTGACATGTTAGTAGTTTGAAATTAGCCAAGGCACAATGATAATGCAGTAAGAGTGCCAAATGCTGTCAGCCGATGCTTTCCCGCCAGGACCTCCAGAGCTAGTTATCAGACTGTGGCCAGCACATCTTTACCTCTTTTTCTTATGAGACTATTGAGGCAAATTTCTGAGGAGGCTTCCCTGAGGAAGGAGAAACCTCCACTGGGAAGGGAGAAAGCAGGAGCCATGTAGTATATGTGGATGGTTCTGAGTCGTACTGGCCTGCAGGCTGCCTTTGTAGCGTGTTCGCTTCTTTTTCTGTTACTGTGACAAAATACTCTTACAAAAGCAGCTTAAGGAAGAAGGATGCACTTGGGCACACAGTTTGGAGGAATCATCCATCATGGTGAGGAAGTCACAAAACCAGGAGCCTTAGAGGCAGCTGCACCTGCAAGTCAGGGAGCAGAGTGACAATCGCTTGTGTGCAGGTAGCAAAGAGAGAGAGTGATGAACAGTTGTTACAGGAAGCAGAGAGAGTGATGATCCCTTGTTTGTGCCCACTCCCTTCTCCGTTTTGTTTACCCCAGAATCCTAGTCCAGTGAATGGTGCCACCCACAGTTAAAGTGGCTTTTCCCTCCTCAGTCTCTCTAATCTAGAGACCCTCACCCCAGGCATGTCCATAGAGTTGTTGCCATGGTGATTCTACAGCCAACCACGTTGGCAATCAACCTTAGCCGTTGACAGCTTATTCTTGAGTCTACATTTGTAGCAAACATTACAGGTGATTCTGACATGGATACTATCTGGACCACACTTTGGAAGTTACTTCTAGAGAACATGCAAAGCTATCTAGTGTTCGTACGTGTGCACATTATATTATCTAAACCCATCTAGAAAGGCAACGAGAAGCCAGGGTCTGAGCTTGACTGAGCACTGAGTCTCTGCTTCTCCAACCCTGTTCATTCTTATTGTTCTCATCTGTGAAATGAAGCCTTGGGCTGCATACTCTCAACTCAAGATCGCTCCAAGACCCTGAGAATGTGATTTACCTTCTCTACAGATGCATTTGCCAGAAAGGTTACGTGGGCGACGGCCTAACCTGCTATGGAAACATCATGGAGAGGCTCAGGGAATTAAATACTAAACCCAGAGGAATGTGGCAAGGAAGGCTGACCTCTTTCATCTCCATCCTGGGTATGTAATTCCCTCCTTGAGGGCAGCACTCTTCCAGGCCAGGGCATCTGCAAGGTACAAGTAGGCAGAAGGGTGCAGGCAAGGCTGGTGCACTTGGGCTAGTCTTTGTAGGGACAGGCCAGTCGGGTGATGGGGAGGGGCAGAACAGCTGTTTCCAAGCAGCTGTTTGGCAGGCAGCCTGGCAATGCAAAGACTAGTAAGAAGAGAGCTGAGGATATGGTCATGACATCGACATAGATTAACAGACTAGCGATAAGAGCAAGAGGGGCAGCCACTGATGTAAAAGATTGTCTCTTTTCCCCTTGACTTCCTGTGTTTTTCAAGGATGAATAAATGTTTCAGAGAATGCTGAAAATTGAGAATCCCAACAGCCGCATGGTGGTAGCCATGCCCAGCAGGGAAGGTGTCATTTGAATATTGGAGCAAACTTGCTTGTGTGTATCCTTAGCTACAAGCTCCTAATTAACCTGTAACAGCTCTTCTCTGGGCCTGAGGCAGTGTGTGATAGCACAACATGCTCATTTGTTTCCAAATGCCTTCTACAAACTGTCACCCACAGCTGCTGAAGAACAAAAAATTATAGCTGAGCAGAGCACTGGGTAATACCTCATCCAAACATGAATCTGGCCAATCAACAATAAATAAACAAACAAATAAATAAAGCACAGACCTGACCAGACAGAAACCTTAACATATCAGCATTTGTGCTAAAATTGGCCAAGAAAGCTGAAACAATTTTCCCAGAAAGAACACAGGAAAGAAGGCAGTGTCCTTGCAGGTCAATGATGTGCTCTCTGAATAATTTTATCTTCTGTATGATGCTCCACTCTTTGCAAGACCTCCGAGGGAAAATCAAGCATTATATACACGGCTTGGGTATGAGAGCAGTCTTGCAGTAATTCAAACCTTCAGCTAAGAACTCTGAGGATGTTCAATGAGAATGGAAGGAGGTGCAAGTGTCCTATGAAGAACACCACACACACACACACACACACACATACACACACACACACACATACACACACACACACACACACACACATGGGTGTTCACGAGTGCTCCTATATAGAGTACTGCTCACCTTTCACCCTCCCCATGCACCTGGCTCATATATGAGAGCACGGAGCCTGTCCTCACCTCCTGGCATCCTCTGGGTAATGGAAACCAGCAGACTACATAACTTGCAAGGCCCAGGGCAGAATGCAAATGTGGGGCCCTTTGTTCAAATATTCTGCTTGTCAAGAGGGCACAAATGGAACAGTTGGTCTACCGTGGACTCCTCTGAGCTGCCCTTGGGTAGAACTTGCATCTCTGCATGTAGAGATGAAACAGCTCAGCCAGCCAGGCACTTGATCAGGGACTGTGGGACTGCCAGAAGGCCTTGTCACACCTTGCCCTTTCAGGACCGAGCACCTAGAAAGCCCCAGCTAGGTCTCCTGGGAAACTCCTAGAGAGTACTGGGAAGATGTGAGGCTTGCACATTACAGTACCATTGCTTTTAGAGTGCCTCAGTTTACCAGGAACAGCACAGAGCAAAGAGAAGGGAGAAGGCATACAGGGACTAGCCTGACTCAAGACCCACTGAGCAGTCTCAAAAGCCATGCACCTCTGACCATGACATTTTCTTTCTTTGTGTGTTTGGACTCTTAAGACAAAACTTATGCCTGGCCACTGAGCAACCTGGGACCCTTCACTGTGCTGCTCCCCTCAGACAAGGGACTAAAAGGAATTGATGTGAGTATCTAAAATAACCCCATCTAAGGGGCCAATATAAAAGGCCTTAGTAGGTAGCAGCTTATTTGAAGTGAGAAACATTTATCACACTCAAGATAAGGATGGTGGGTGTCTCAGTTACTGTTCTATTGCTGTGAAGACAGAGGCAGCTTATGGTGGCCATCATGGCAGGGAGCATGGTGGCAGGCAGGCACGGTGATGGAACAGTAGGTAAGAGCTTTCATCTTGACTCTCAGGCAGCAGAGAGAGAGAGAGACTGGGTTTGGCATAAGCTTTTGAAATCTCAAGGTTTACCCCATTGACATACTTTCTCCAACCTTCCTAAACATTCAACATATGAGCCAATGAGGACCACATTCCACTCCCTGGCCCCCATAGGCTTGTAACCCTATCATAAGGCAAAACACATTCAATCCAACTTCAAAAGTCCCCGAAATCTTCACAGTCTCAACAGTTTAAAAGTCCAAAGTCTCTTCTGAGACTCAAGGAAATTGGTTATCTGAAACCCCCTGTAAAAATCACAAAGCAAGTTATATAACTTCCAACACACAAAGGAAGGAAAGGGGACAAAGTATGGACATACCAGCAAAATCAAAATCTTGGCCTAGACGACCCTTCCAATCTCCCACTCCTTTGCTCCTTGTTGAGTGCATCACACTTCTCTCTCCTATGCTGGTTCCATGTCAGGTCTGCAGCTCTCCTTTACAGGCATCCTTGGGCTCTGGCATCTCCAACATCTTGGACTCTCCAGTGCCATCCAGGCTTTATGTTCACAGCCTCACATAACAGCCTCTCTGTGCCTCCATGTAAAATCTCACCTGCCACATGGCTGGAAGAATCCACAACTCCTTTACATCTGTATCTTTCTTGATGAAGCCATAACCAAAGCTGCTGAGTTCTTCTGAGTGCTTGGGATGGAATCTGCTCTCCTCCTTTAATCACATTTACATAAGCTATGATTTGTTAATGGCTTTCCTTGCTGCACAAGCTTTTTTTTTTACACAAGTTGCATTAGCTCTCCTTCAGCCAAGATGTTCTCTGATGATGTTTTTTGCTGCTTTATGTTAAAGTCCAGTATGTGGCAGGCTCCTTCAAACTGGTATACCATTGCCATTCATCCACCCGAGATGAGTCTGCCTACTGGTGACCTACAAAGATGTCCTGTGTCTCCTCTGCTGTGGAGGAAGAACAATGTCACCAGCCTACATCCTAGATATTTTTGAAGGAGACTCCTCCCCTATAATATATAAAGTTTATAGAAAACACACTAAAACTGTATCTGTTGATTGTTGACTATGGAGGAATAGCTAAGATACAAATTTGGTCCCATAAATTTACTATTCCAAAGCATTCTCATTCCATTGTACCTGCTCTTTATTTTTGACTGTCTGCTCTTTGATTGTGTTATATAAGTGCACCTTTTAAAAACCTGGGGTGGTGCACATCTGCAAGTCCAGGACTCTCTTTTCATTTAAAAACAAAATCTTGAGAAGTTTTCATTCTGGTCCTCTTTTCTAGATTCCTCTATGCCTGGTACCCTCTTGCTCCCCTTGCAGCCATTGCTCTTTTCTCAATACCATGTCAGTTCCAGGGTGATACTCCGGGCATCAGCTCAGACTCTCCAGTTCCCACTCTCATTAAGGCTTGTGCTCACCTACTTCAGATAGGGCCCTGCAGAGCACTCCAGCTTGGGTGTCTTTGATGATGGATGAGTCGTGGAATCTATTATAACATTCATTTCCTCCAGACGTCACCCCAGGTGGCTCTCTTTTCTTAGGTAAAGGAGCTCTTGATGAACAAAGAGGCTGCTCGGTACTTTGTGAAGCTCCACATCATCGCTGGGCAAATGAGCACGGAGCAAATGAATGACACCGACACCTTCTACACCTTGACGGGAAAGTCAGGGGAAATCTTCAACAGGGATAAGGTCAGAATTTTCTGATTTCACTTCCATGACAGCACCAAGGCAATACCCGGGCTAGAGGGGTTTGGGGAAACTGTTATAGAAAGGGGACTCTTTGGGTCTGGCCTGAGTTAGCTTTCAAGGCAACCATCACTCAGCTGCCACTACTAACCCCACAGGTGTGAGGACAAAGACCACTGACCCAAAACATCTTGGTCAAATTAATTAAAGCAATTAATCAAACCACGCTTTTTAAAAATTCATGTACACAGGCTTGCCTCTCCCTAAAGGTGGGGTTCAAGAGATAAGCATTGGACATGAGTGAGATAAGGATTTTTGTAGTTCAGAAGTAGGGGGTTTCAAATAGGGGATTTGTCTGGCAAATCAGCAGGGTTACAGAAGCAGAACATAAGCTTAACAAGATGATCATAACAACCTCCTGAAACAAAGACATGGTCATAACAACAGGTGGTCATAATAACCTTTTGAAACAAAGACATGGTTGCTGTTTCCGGGAACAGGCAGTACAGAACCATTAGCAGTTAAGATTACAGGTAGGGCATAGCCCAATCTTTAAGAAACAGATATTTAATCATAAATGGTAATGAACCCAGTTTGTCCTCACTATAAGGTGGCTTTTAAGCCCAAGATGAAGGCAGGCTGGTTTGTCACCACCATGAAGCCAAAGCGCCCTGAGCCTGCTTCCTGAAAGCCCTGGTTCCAAATCATCAGCATTCCTCTTACAAAAGAAAATGAATGGAGTGTGTTTGGTTTGGGTTGCTGGCACTGATCCATCTTCTCCAATCATCCTGCCAGTTTTGTTTTGTTTTTTTTTTAAATCAGACTACCTCACTTTCCTTCACAAACACTCTTTATGTTTTGACGAAGCTGGTGACATGCAATTACCAGGAGTGCTTGTGTGGCTTGTGTCCTGGGCTGTTTCTTGTATTTCCCTTAATATCAAGATCTGGCAGACCGATGGGTGCTCTTTCCATGCTAAGTACAAGTGTAAACCTTTATTTGCGTTATGTAAAACAATTCAGGAAAAGAGGATTCATCAGAATCCTTGGTTCTCCTACTGGCAGTGGAGAGGTCACAGAAAATATCTGAGCCAGGGTTCAAGTGTGGATCCGAGTGACACCAGTCTGCTATGCTGTGAATGTGAGGATGGATGATAGCTATGATAGAGCAGCATATATGTGACACAGATGTGTATTCATATTTGTGAATATGTATACATGTCGGTGTATTCATTCATTCACATTTATTGTCTGTAATTCTTAGGACTAACGTGAGAGGAAAAGCAATTAGTACCAGTTTCTCAGGCAACAAATTCGTGTTCACCTTCTTTGTGTAATATGTTAAAGCAGTGGTTCTCAACCTTCCTGATGCCGCAACCCTTTGATACAGTTCCTCATGGTGTGGTGACCCCCAACCACAAAGTTATTTTGTTGCTACTTCATGGCTGTAATTTTGCTACTGTTAGGAATCGTAACCTAAATATCTGATATGCAGGATAGCTGATATGTGACCCCTGTGAAAGAGTCGTCCTGACTCGCAGATTGAGAACCATTGCATTAAAGCAAGAGGTGTATTGACAATCAGCTGAACTGTTACACCCTAGTGGGCCTTGCAGCTTATTGGAGGAGAGCATACACTGACCAACCCAAAATTTGCATGTGATACTCATCAGTGATGTCACTGAACTTACCATGTGAAGTGGGCCAAGGAGACACCTCATCCTCATGTAAGACTGTGTGATTTATCCAAAGTCTCACAGCCACAAAACTTCTGGTTTCTAATCCCAGAATTGTTCTTTCTAGAACGCCATATTAATTTTATTCTTTTTTTTTCTTTCTTTGGTATTTTAGGACAATCAATTAAAGTTCAAACTTCACGGAGGCAAAACAGTGAAAATTATCCAGGGGAACATAGTTGCTTCAAATGGGCTGGTACATATCCTCGATAGTGCCATGGACAAGATGGAGCCCACACTTGAGAGCAACCCCCAGGTGAGGCAAGCCAGGTAGTGTGAGGTCAATCCATGTCCGCCTTTGCTGCCTGGAGAGTCACATCCATGAAGAAAGCTTTACAAGGAGGGTCTCAAGCCAAGAGAAGGCAGGATGGTTTGTCCATTTTCAGTAGGCTACTGAGTGTTTCCGCAGAGAGAAAGAAAGGCATGCTGGGGTGGGAGAAGATTTATGGATCTTTTCTTAAACTTTGCTTATGGCCATATCAGACAACTCTGCCTGGTGCCAGATTGTCACTGCAGTTCGTTCCTTGTGCTGCATGGAGGATAGTCATGATCATAATGAATTTCTTCTTTCCCACCTGCACGGTATGATCAGAGACTGTTGTAGAATGCACAGATTAGATGACTGGTCAAATCAAAACACTCGTGTACACAGAGCAGTTGGCTGAGTCCTTTTACACATCCTCACACCTTCACCTTAACTCTGCCATGTCTCTTAACATGAAGGTCCATATTACCTAACTATTTTTTTTACTGACTTTTGAACAAAATCTCTCTTTTCAGCAAACCATAATGACAATGCTACAAGCAAGATACAGCAAGTTCAGATTTTTGTTAGAGGTACATGCTTTCATATATTTCAGAAGAATGGAGTCAAGTCCTTTGTAAAATCAGCAGAGATGCCAATTTTAAGTATTTTTTCTAGCAACTACTTCAAATGTTATTTTCAATAAAGAATACTTTTAAATTTAATTTTTCAAATGCAGGAAACCAATGTTGGACACGCCCTAGATGAAGGTGGCTTTGGTGGTTCATACACCATTTTTGTTCCAAGTAATGAAGCATTAAGTAATATGAAGGCTGGCACCCTCGATTACCTCCTTTCTCCAGAGGTATAGTATCCCAGTTACCAAGGCATGGTATTGGCATCCCTGTCCCAGTCTCTGACCACTCTGGCATTTCTCCATACTAAAAACAATAGACAGATGATAAGCAGATAGATAGATAGATAGATAGATAGATAGATAGATAGATAGATAGATAGATAG